ACTAACAGATTAGTATTTGTAGCCAGACGAGTTGGACGCACAAGAAGAGAGGGGGTTGAGGGCCCTGCTAAAACGAGCTTACATTCTAGAGCAGGAGTTCCCAAAACATAGATCCACAAATGTTATAGGACTAAAACTCCCATGATGCTTTACATGCTTTAGCATGACAAAGCATCATGGAAGCTGTAGTTTTAAAACATCTGGGGAGCTACCTTTTTGGGACCCCTGTTCTAGAGGGAGTGAGGTAAAATAGCACAAAGGGTAAGGGTGTACTTCCCCTTACACCCCTTTTTACCATGTTTGGTAAAAAAGTAGGTTACTAGAATAGTTTACAATGAAGGGTTGGTTTCTAGGATGACACAGTTGCTGGAGGGGAAGCAGGGTGGGTAACCAAGGTGCGGGGGGAGGGCGGAGGAAGCTATTAACAGTTTAATTGATATGTTTTCTTAACAAAGTGAGTGTGTTATGATTTTTTGAAGGAACTGAGACTGGATTAGGGTCTAACGAAGCAGGGAAGGGAGTTCCATAGGAGACGTGTTGAAGGTGCAAGTACGAACAAAGGAATAGACGTAGGTCTTCGGCAGAACGCAGGGGCCTAGACGGGACATATTTGTGTAATAGGAAGGATAGATAGATAGGAGCAGCATTATCTAGAGATTTGTAAGCAAGCACCATAATTTTAAATTGAGCCCAAATCTTACTGGAAGCCAATACAGGGACTGACAGATGGGGAGGTGTGGGAGATGCGGGGGGACAGGAAGATGAGCATTGCCACCGCATTCATTATTGACTGTAACGGGGCAAGCTGGGAACGTATAAGACCACTGAGAAGTGAATAGCTTTTAATTACAGTGATTGCTTGCTGGCTGCTCCCTCTCTTTCTCTCTCCCTCTCTCTCTGATATTTAAAGAGGAGTAAAAACAAAGTAAATTGCACCAAATTGCACCAGTTTGATATCACTGTATTTACTAGCCAACTCTCTGTACTCCATTACAAAATGTTGGTCAGACCATTTCGTTCTGCTGATTATGGTCATATGGTCATTTTTTTTATCATGGAAAAATATGTCCATGTGTAACATACGCGCAATCAGGTAAGTCATATGGGATCATAATTTCATTTATACCCATGATGGCATTGATAATATTTGGCAGTGAAATCACTGCATATGTTAATGCTGCTTAACACGTCAATTCTTTTAATCAGTTTGGGATTAGTGAATTAAGTATTGCTTTATTTTACAAGTTTGCACACAATGGAAAATGCTGAACACTGTGGTATAATTCCATTCATTTTACCTATCATTAGTGAACTGAATCGTTAGTATTTTCACCGTTTTAAAAGAGAGACATTTTTAAAGCTTGATCATCAACGAGGAAGAGTTGTAATGGGTTTGTCGTGTTCTGTGTCCTGATTGAAATCTGAACTTTGTTCAAGCCAGCTTCTACCAAACATTAAAGAGACAGTCTGTAAACCATTCACATTTTCTTCAGAAGTCACATTCGGAGAGTTAGAACACAATGTACATTTGCCAGATTACTTGCGAGTTCTTGGAATCTTGCAACTTTTTACGGTGCATTATTCAATTGAAATCCTACTAAAATTGTATTTCCTTAAAGACCGTCTCTGTGTGCTGTGTGACTCTGAGAGTTTTCCCTGCAGTGGACCCACTGAAGATATGTTTCTTGTCTGTTCTTCAGCAGCAAAATCCAATTTCTTTGCATTATTGTTTAAGAAGTTCCTCTTTATCAGTTTATTGAGGAAATAGTTTGTAGAAATGAAGTGGTTGTTTATGCAGAACAATAGCCGTGAGGTCTTAATCCACAGCATTTAGGATGATAAAAAGCTAAATCTGTCAAGTTTTATTTATATACAACGCAAATTCATTTTCCTCAATTCCCTTCTTTTACTTCCTCTAATTTTGCCCTCATCGTATTGCATCCCGTTTTTTAAGCGCTCGTTCTGCATGTTTTCATTAGGTTACGCCAGATGTGACCTATACGTTCCATAGTCCTTTGCCAGCTAACAGGAGCTGTTTTTTCATGGTTGCCCTCCCGAAGCCGCATTGTTATTGTATCCCAATCATCGTGTTGGCACTTTATCGAAGCTTTCCTCTGTCACCTCATTTGGTGGGATATGCATCTCGTAAATATGTAACATTAGTAAAATTGTGAGATTTAATATGGGTATCTCCAAAACCTCCTGCACAGATTAGATTTTTTCTGCCTACATTTTGTCATTGTGCCCTTTGTTCAAGACATCCAGGTCTGCAGGGATTGTTGGTGCCCCTGGTCCTCAGGGGTTTTGAGATATTTACTGCATGGTCTGTAGACTGGGCCCACTCTCCGAGAGCCACTTTCACGTTAGATATGATTCTTCTCATACCTTGTGGTTCTAACTGCTTTGTTGGCCTTCTTTGAACTGCAAGAATGTGGCAAGCTTTCTCTCACTCTGTCAATATCTAGGATCTATTTTGCAAGACTTCTCTCAAATATCAGATTATGAATTCATTCTTCTCATATTGGAGTCTACGTATCACTTAGTCATTCTCCCCTACATGATTTCTTAACTGCCAGCATTGGCTTGACTTTCCAGTAATAATAATAATAATTTGCCATTTTTATAGCGCTTTTCTCCCTGTGTGACTCAAAGCACTTTACAAATATATAAAACAGATATAAAAGTTAAGAGTTTTTGATGGTCAGATGAACTGACTGAATGCCTGATAAAAGACGTGTCTTTTTTTTTTAATATAGTCTGTAAGGATGGAGCCTCTCTAAATGAGTGAGGTAAAGAGTTAGAGAATGTGGGGGCAGCATGGCTGAATGTCCGGGTACCTGAGTTTGTCTTTATTCTGGACACCGGCAGAGGGGAATAATTGGCTGACCGTAGTGAGTAGAATGGAGTATGAGGTGTCAGGAGTTACAGCAGATATTGCGGGCCTTGATGGTTCAAGGTTTGAAGGTTAGTAGGCCAATTTTAAAATATGTTCATCACTTAATTACAAGTCAATGCAGGGAGGGAAGAACAGCTGTTCATAATCAAGTTGGTTGGCTAGTAGCCTGGTTGCTGCATTTTGTACGGTCTGTAGCCAATGGAGTTCTTTTTCATTCTTGATTGATATTTACCATTTCACACAATTTACCAATTGTACTGAAGTTACAAAATATATATATTGTTTTACTCCAACATAACTCTCCAATGTGGAACGCTGAATCTGACACTACTGAGAGGTACGCTGTGGGTAAAAAAGTCTGCCAGTTTTACCAAGGTTGGCTTCTAACAAAGCAACAGAAATCAGCTCAAGGTGAAAATCCAAAGAAAAGGTCTTTGCTCCAAGAGCACAGCCCATTAAACAAAGGTCAGACCGGCGGCTCTCCCACTTCACCGACACTGATTTACTGCACTGAAACCCTAGCTGAGGATTCGGGACCCCTGATCTCTGCTCTTTGCTATAGGCTGCTATAGATCTTGCTGCTCAGAATTTATGGCTGAGATGTTAGTGAAATATTACAGGACAGCATCTGCTTTCTACATTTACTGCATCCAATACATAGTGGGACCTTTAAATAGTGTCATATTCTTTTCTCTTTGGGATTAGTTTGGAGACGATGACATGCAATGAATGTTAGACTAAAATATGGAAAAATCTACCAAATTAATTTGTTTCCAAAATTCCAAGCCCAACTAGCGTAGCCTTAAAGGGACACTATAGTCACCAAAATAACTTCAGTTCAAGGAAGCAGTATTAGTGTATAGATTATGATCCTGCAGTCTCACTGCTCAAATCTCTGCAATTTAGGAGTTAAATACCTTCTGTTTCTGTCCATGCAGCCCTAGTCACACCTCCCCTGGCTGTGACTGACACACCATGCATGAACAAACATGGTTTCACCTTCAATTAGATGTAACTTACTTTAAAGGTTCTTATTTCCTCCTCTCTAAAGTAAACTTTAATCATACACAGAATGCTTCTGTTGGGTCTAGCAAGCTTCCAACAGTGCAGAGGATAAAACATTTTAAATTAAAATAGAATTTGCAATGAAGGAAGTATAAACATTAGCTGACTCTTTACAGGAAGTGTTTAGAAAGATTGTGCAAGGGAGGTGTGACTAGGGTGCATAAATAAAGTGGTTTAACTCCTAAATGGCAGTGAGACTGCAGGGAAATGATCTATACACAAAAACTGCTTAAATAAGCTAAAGTTGTTTTGGTGACTATAGTGTCCCTTTAAATGTGCACTGTGTAGGTTAGTTAGTTATACCGAGTGTGTTTATATTATTAAAGGGACACTCCAGGCTCCCACACACGTTAGATGCACTGTGTAGGTTAGGATACAGTTAGTTATACTGAGTGGGTTTATATTATTAAAGAGACACTCCAGGCTCTCACACACGTTAAATGCACTGTGTAGGTTAGGTTACAGTTAGTTATACTGGGTGGGTTTATATTATTAAAGGGACACTCCAGGCTCTCACACACCTTAGATGCACTGTGTAGGTTAGGTTACAGTTAGTTATACTGCGTGGGTTTATATTATTAAAGAGACACTCCAGGCTCCCACACACGTTAGATGCACTGTGTAGGTTAGGTTACAGTTAGTTATACTGGGTGGGTTTATATTATTAAAGAGACACTCCAGGCTCCCACGCACGTTCGATGCACTGTGTAAGTTAGGTTACAGTACGTTATACTGGGTGGGTTTATATTATTAAAGGGACACTCCAGGCTCCCATACACCTTCGACACTCTGTAACATTTTATTTTTCGACTGATTTGAAAGAATTACAAATTTGCCTCTTTTTTTGTCTCTCTGTCACAAACCAAAAGTATTTCCTTGCTTTGCTCCTGTAATACAGATTTTAGATATCATCTGGATAATTATAAATCCAAATCTCTTAGATCTTATCTTTTGAAGTTGTTCCTCAGTAGTGATGTCGCGAACTGTTTGCGAACTTCCCGTGAACGGCTCGCCGCGGTTCGCGGCGACCTCCGGTCAGCTGACACATCCCGGCCAATCTCCAGCAGACCCTCCCTCCCAGACCCTCCCACCTCCTGGACAGCATCCATGTTGAAGGCAGGCCATGTTGAAGGCAGCTTCAACATGGATGCTGTCCAGGAGGTGGGAGGGTCTGGAAGGGAGGGTCTGCTGGAGATTGGCCGGATGTGTCAGCTGACCGGAGCTCGCCGCGAACGGTTCGTGGCGAACCGTGGCGAGCCGTTCGCGGGAAGTTCACGAACGGTTCGCGACATCATTATTCCGCAGTGCTTTAATTGGGAAGATATAATTAATATTGACTATTATTATTGAATTATTTAATCAATTTAATTTTGTCGTTTCAGCACTGAAAAACGCAGGCGGGAGCAAGAGAACCGATATTTGGAGGAGCTTGCTGAACTGCTGTCGGCTAATATTGGAGATATAGACAGCCTGAGCGTCAAGCCGGACAAATGCAAAATATTGATCAAACGAATGGATCAGATCCAACAACTAAGGAAGAAAAAGCAGGGTGAGTCAAACATACTGCTCGGATTTGGTAAACATTGTGCTGAGATAGGGGGCTGCTCGGATTTGGTAAACATTGTGCTGAGATAGGGGGCTGCTCGGATTTGGTATACATTGTGCTGAGATAGGGGGCTGCTCGGATTTGGTATACATTGTGCTGAGATAGGGGGCTGCTCGGATTTGGTAAACATTGTGCTGAGATAGGGGGCTGCTCGGATTTGGTAAACATTGTGCTGAGATAGGGGGCTGCTCGGATTTGATATACATTGTGCTGAGATAGGGGGCTGCTCGGATTTGGTATACATTGTGCTGAGATAGGGGGCTGCTCGGATTTGGTATACATTGTGCTGAGATAGGGGGCTGCTCGGATTTGGTATACATTGTGCTGAGATAGGGGGCTGCTCCGATTTGGTATACATTGTGCTGAGATAGGGGGCTGCTCCGATTTGGTATACATTGTGCTGAGATAGGGGGCTGCTCCGATTTGGTATACATTGTGCTGAGATAGGGGGCTGCTCGGATTTGGTATACATTGTGCTGAGATAGGGGGCTGCTCGATTTGGTATACATTGTGCTGAGATAGGGGGCTGCTCGATTTGGTATACATTGTGCTGAGATAGGGGGCTTGGATTTGGTATACATTGTGCTGAGATAGGGGGCTGCCCGGATTTGGTATACATTGTGCTGAGATAGGGGGCTGCTTGGATTTGGTATACATTGTGCTGAGGTATACATTGTGCTGAGATAGGGGGCTGCCCGGATTTGGTATACATTGTGCTGAGATAGGGGGCTGCTCCGATTTGGTATACATTGTGCTGAGATAGGGGGCTGCTGGGATTTGGTATACATTGTGCTGAGATAGGGGGCTGCTCCGATTTGGTATACATTGTGCTGAGATAGAGGGCTGCCCAGATTTGGTATACATTGTGCTTGAGATAGGGGGCTGCTCGGATTTGGTATACATTGTGCTGAGATAGGGGGCTGCTCCGATTTGCTATACATTGTGCTGAGATAGGGGGCTGCTCGGATTTGGTATACATTGTGCTGAGATAGGGGGCTGCTCCGATTTGGTATACATTGTGCTGAGATAGAGGGCTGCCCAGATTTGGTATACATTGTGCTTGAGATAGGGGGCTGCTCGGATTTGGTATACATTGTGCTGAGATAGGGGGCTGCTCCGATTTGCTATACATTGTGCTGAGATAGGGGGCTGCTCGGATTTGGTATACATTGTGCTGAGATAGGGGGCTGCTCCGATTTGGTATACATTGTGCTGAGATAGAGGGCTGCCCAGATTTGGTATACATTTTGCTGAGATAGGGGGCTGCTCGGATTTGGTATACATTGTGCTGAGATAGGGGGCTGCCCGGATTTGGTATACATTGTACTGAGATAGGGGGCTGCTCGGATTTGGTATACATTGTGCTGAGATAGAGGGCTGCCCAGATTTGGTACAGTACTATGGTTGGAGCCTGCTTAGACTAGGTATACAATGAACAGAGTTGGGGGGCTGTTTGTATCCTCAGTTAATTTGGATACTCAGGAATAGGAGTAAATGTGCAGGTAGGACATTCCCTTTTTTCATAGTCGGCCCAATAACCAACTGACCATGGATGTAGATGAGATATTTCTAGACTTAACACTAAAGCGTTTGGAATACAAGCCTGCCTTCCTAATGCTTTAGCGTCTCTATACCTAGTTGTGCCTCACCCACCATGCGTTACCATAAAAGTAATAGGGGATTTTACTCAACTGTTTCCAGTGCCAAGTCTCCCTCAGCGCTGCTTACCTCCTCTCCTCCCATAATGTCACGGAATCAATGCTTTCTGTGGGGCTGCAATGTCACGTGACAACGTTTTACTCGGTCATTGCGTTCTGACTCAGGATGTACACTGAATTTAAATGTTTTAATACCTGTTAACGTACAGAATCTTTGCAAACACAATTCTGATTTGTTTAGAAAAGGGACACTTGTCCATTAGTTCTGAGGCCATGTATTTAAAGAATGGCCTTTCAAGTGAACACAAAGTTCAGAAACTATAATTACACATTGCCAAATAACAAAGAAAAATCCTCATTTCAAAGTCCTTGCTGCCAGCCTTCACATCCAGTATGAATAAAAATGGCTGTTTATCTGCAGTCTCTGGCTCTATGGCAAGCTCTGAAAGGAGTATATTTTAGGTCTCTGCATTTGGTAACCTACTTGGCACATGTTTACTGAAGCAGCCGGGCATGTTCCAGGGCACAAGGACATCTTTGAAAAAAAACCTTTAACAAAAAGTTAGTTTTTAGAGAAATTTGACAAGTTTGTAAAACACAGAAAACGATATATATTGTATGCACCATACCCACTGCAGCTCAGTGTAACGGTTATGGTACAAGGAATCTTTGGGTGCTGCCCCATGTTTTTTTTTGGATTTCACGGGGTCCCCGCAGACTGCCACCTCCTTAGCTGCAATGATAAGGCAGCATTTACAGTTCTACTTTATCAATGTCTATTCTGTCAACGAGGGGAGTTGTGATAGACTCCCAAGACTCTCAGCCAATCTCTTATGTTTACTTATGTGAACAAAACTGACACAGAGAGCCCTGAGCAGCAGTGATTATGGTGCATAGAGTGCCCTTTTTAAATACAGTTGTTTGTTCACCGGAATTTACTTTTTAGTGTGATGGATGTGCGAGTGTAATTTGTGCCACAAACGGTCTAGGTCATTTATAATCCTTTATTGAGTTTTAATGAGATCAGTACTGAGAGGATTTAAGAAATGCCGTATCAATATACAAGTGATACAAAAAATAGCATTCTGATTGTGTGTGGCAGAGCCAGAGGCAGCAATAGCGGAGATTACCGAGATACCAACTCCCATGATGCTTTGCCAACCTAAATGAGATTTGGTTTTACACTGGCCGAGGGTATATCTTTGCTGCCATAAAACAGGTGTGGGCTGACTTGGCACTAGTCTGATATCGCTTTCGGTAAGCTATGCTGGCTCCAGTAGACAGGAAGGATTATATTTCTGACGTGGCAGGTAGGAAATGCACCATCATGCCTCTGATTTTTTTTGTTGGCTCCTGTTTGCTGCCAAGCAGTCGGATTAATAATGAAAGCTGCCAGGGACGAGATGGCATTTTGGGTACAAGGTGATTTTGTCATCCACAAAGTACCAGGTCCATAAAAAAGGATCTGCCTTTGCATGCAGTCACAGCGAGCTTCTCCTGGCTTCTCTCCCCTTTTCCTGCAAAGCAATATATATATGTGTGTGTGTGTGTATATGGGTTTAATAACGTTACCTCTTGCCAGAGGGCTGCGAGCAAGACGGGCGGAATTCGACCTTGACATGCATCTTTTGCATCTGTGTCTGCATATGGTCAAGTTCTTTTTAATGTCAGCAAATGTAGTAGGCATGTGTTGTGAATCTGTGTCTCTCTCACCGTGTCCGTACGTATTACACTAGCATGGCTGATGTTTGCTTTAGGCCAGTATCCGCCAGCTGTTGAGCTAAAGCTATAACTCCTGGCATGCTTATCCAACAAAGTGTGAGGATGATATGCCTCACTTTTTGGCTTATCCCAGTTGCTATTGAATTTTTAGCCAGGAAGGCGACTAGAAACTGAAAGAAGTTTCATTTGTGTGTTTGTTCTATAAAAATGACTAGCCAAAAATGATGTGGGCTAGACCATATGTAGCCCTTACGTTAGCCTTGAGTAATGTTCTATGGTTCCCCAAGGCTGGCTAAAATTAATTTCCCTTTTACCTCTACAAACTGTCTGCTCGAATATGAGACAGGCCTGTAGGAATTCGCTAATAAATTGGGGTGACATCACAGCCTTTAACCTTCTGTCTAAAAGATAAGAAAAGGGGTGAGGATCATGGATTCCATATTTTTGAGTCCTCTGGAGGGTCATTGAAAGAGATCAGCCTCCACTGTGGATCCGGTGTCCCTGGCCTGGCCCATCTCGGCCCATTACTGATTGAAGAGTCCAGACATATGAATGCATATGGATTACGATAAACCCAGATTATACCTTCTGGAATCTTATGACTTCCACTTGTCCTGGAGCTCGTGGGATAGTCCTCACTAGGAATCCTATTTTTGCATCAGATCTACTTAGGGTACACAACTTTTGGGAGTAATATGTTCGACAAGTCGGTGGGAATTATAAGGTTGGCCAGTAATTGTGTGTAGGTATTTTAGAGGGTGATCATGCTACCTTGTTGATTCCCTCTCCAACTCAGAGCCCCTTTTTAAGCAAAATCCAAGCATCCCAGAGTTGGCAGTAAGTTTTGTGTGACATGCTTTGGCAAGGCATATATGCTTCCTGATTGCATTTTTGGTCTGTGGTAACTTCGAGGCAACCATCTTGATTCATGGTATGCCTGTTGGTCAAACATCAACCACTCGTGGTTTGGTTTGAGATCTGAGGTCAGCAGGGGCAACAACTGCATCCAATTTTGGTTTACACTGCCTGATCAGAGGGACTTTGTTTCATTTAAGATTTTGTGATTATGAATATTTTTTTAAGATCTGATCTCTCTAATAACTATTACACAGACACCAAATAAATTCTTCAAATGCAGATAATGATGTGCATCAGTGTTCCCTAAAAGCATTTGTTTATGAGCAGTCCAGCAGTGATCTAGTTAAAAAAAAGTAATCATCACTGTCC